CAGTGGCCTGGCAAGTGAATTTTCCTGCTTTTCCTTTTTCTGTTGTGGTGGCTTTGTGTCTGGTGTGTTTGGTGACAGTTTGCACAGGCACAGCACAGAAACACGCAGCTCAGATCCCAACTTGAACGGGAAGTGCCAGTTCTAAATATCAAGTCCCATATTGCACACCTCATGTCTGCCTTTCATCATCCATCAAAATAGCAAGCGGAGCCCAGCACTCCCACTTCAGCATAAGCAAAACATGTGGGAACTCGAGGCAGTTAGTAGGAAAACGTGATACAGCCTTGCTAATAAAAGCTCCTGCTTTCCTCACTATGGAAAACAGTTGCAAATGGGTTTCTGCAGCCTGGGACTCGACTGCTGACAGCACGGTGACAGAATCGCTGTGCTTGGCTCTTCCCAGCCCTGCCTGCTGTGGTGTCCCTGCAAACCACCCAGCTCCAGGAGCAGAGGGAGCCCAGCACCATCCTGCTCCACCAGACCCTGCCCATCCTGCTCGGCGCTTCCCAACGCAAGCTGCCTGCACACTCGAAATAATTAAACCTTCAAACAGCTCCCCCATAGCACCAATTAAAGAGACAACCCCAGCTTTCAGAGAATTTATGACTCTCGGTGCTGTTGCCACAGGTATCCACGTTTGTGCGTTGTTTAAAGAGAGTTTCAAAGGGGATCCGGGTTTGCCTCCCTCCAGGGAGAATCCATTTGCTTTGTTCACCAGACTATAACTTAAATTTTCTTACATGCACCGGCTTGTAAGCCTTTGAAAAACTCCCTGCTTCACCAGCTTCAAATGGACTTGATGAACTTCCCCCGATCAAAGCAGTTCCCTCACAGGGAGCCTCAGCTCACAAGCAAGGAAGCACCCAACAAATTTTGGGGGTGGGAATCACAGCGTGGGCCAGGAGGGGACTCTCACTCCCAAACCCACCTGAGAGCCCAAGCAAAGAGGCCAACCCACTTCAGCACAAAGCATGAAGAAAAAGGCATTAATGCTAAATTAGTTTATTTAAAAGGAGAGAAGACAAAAAAAATTAGCAGAGGTTTTTCTTCTTGAGAGTAGAATAATTTGTCAGCAGGAGACTCCACGGCTCGTGTCCCATCAGAACCCAGTCCTGGCACCCCATAACATCTGGGAGGGGAAGGGAGATGGTTGCACACCCTCCACACTACCCACAGGTGGAAGTGCTGCTCGTGTGATGCTCCAGGAGATGTTTTACCTCACACACAACCACGTGCCTTGGGTTTATTCCCTGCTCTGCAGAGCCCAAACCCCTTTGCTGGAGCAAAGGTGCAGCCAGCACGCACCAACCCTGCGGAAAACTCAGCAGCCACGAGGCCACAGCACAACTCTGCTGCCTCCGGCCACTCCCACTGCCACGATGTCAATTAAAATGGTCATTTCCATGTGAAATTCAGCCCCAGTGGTTTCCTGCTTGAGGCAGGGCTCGATGAAGCACTGGGAGGGAGCTCGCTGCAGCTCAGATTAGTCATTTATGAACTATGATACGACAGAGGACACGCTTTGAGATGTTTTGCTACTGCAAGTTACAAACACTTTTTGAAGAGGGGAAGGTGAACCCCTTTGAGGAGCAGGACAACAGGCATGGGCTGAGCAGCCTGGCTAAAATAAAACCCCAGCAGAAAACAGCCCATGCTGGAAAACACTGGTTGCAGCTCCCAGCCCCAGGAAGACCAACTTCCCGTGGTGACCTATATGTGCTATAAATGCTGCAGCCATGGGCTGGGTGACGTCAGCTCCATCCTTGTGGCAATTGTTGGGTCTCTCCTTGCCAAGAAAAGGCAAAGCGGAGGTGCTGAATTGTCCATGCGGCGGGGGAGCGAAACCAGTTCCTCCCCGGAGCATTTGAGGACAGAAATGAGGGAAACAGTGGCAGGGCTTAAAATAAAAGCAGGAGGCAAATAGGAAAGCAAAGGGATCTCGAAGCTGGAGGGTTTGCATGAACACTTTGAATTTTTCTGGCCTTGGGGAGAAAAAGGGGTTCCCTTGGTAAAGGGGCCACCAGCAGCTTGGCCAGGGCAGTTATTAGAAACATGGAATTGTTAAGGTTGGAAAAAATCTTACGATGTTCAAGTGCAACTGACAGCCCAGCACCATGACACCAAAGCATGTCCTCAAGTGTCACATCAACATCTGTTCTGAACACTCCAGGGGATGGTGATTCCATCCCTGCTCTGGGCGGCCAATGGTTAAAAACACTTCTGGTAAACAAAATTTTTTTTTAAAAGGATTTTAATTTGGGACAATTTTATCACTGTGATTGCCTTTTTCAAATGCTTCTGTTCCTTTATTTGTCAGTTGGACTTTGGAAGCAAAAATGTCATTTTGGCCAGGACTGATCAGTCAGTGCTTTCTCCCTTCCCTCCTCACTTCCCTGGGGAGGAAAGAGCCTGGAGATAACAGCTCTTCTGGAGGGGAAAAAGAATAAAAGCTGCACACTGCCCCAGCATTTCCACAAGGAGATGGGCAGAGGGAGATCATGAATTCCCATGTCCAACCCAATTACACCCAAGTCAGTGACTGGCTGCCATCCTGGGGGAAGGATAAACACCAATATTTCTTGGCACACAAGACAACATCAATTTGTTACCTTGAGGTTACCACAACAAGCCCAAATAAAGAGATCCTGACACTGTGGTGCACAGCACTGAGCTAAGACTCAGACATATCAGTGTTTGCTTCTCCTTTGCAGGCAGAGGGGAAATGCTGCACTGCCTTCACTGCTGGTCCAGGCCCCTGACTGAGAAGTGCTTGGAACACATGTGGCACATTAAAAAAGAAGCCCAGGCCTTCCTGCATGGCAAGATTTAGAGTTTTCACCTGCAGGTCCAGGTTATGGTATGGCTGTGAGATGCTCTGCCCCCTCTGCAAGCCCAGATCCCCAAATCCAAGGACCATGTGCTCTCCATTCTCTGACCACATCAACGTTAATGATGACTCCAAACCAAATTTTGAGCTGGATGACTGCCTGTGTCTTGGGGGATGAACTACCTTGGGGGATGACCAAGGCCAGGTTGGAAGGGGATTGGAGCAGCCTGGTCTAGTGGAAGGTGTCCCTGCCCATGGCAGGGGGTGGAAAAAGATGAACTTTAAGGTCTCTTCCAACCCAAAGCCTTCCATAATTCTGCAATTCTAACTAGTACCTGATTGCATCAGTGAATAAAGCTAAACCAACAAACCAACAATCTCTGAGAACAGCCTCTTGCCATTTTCTAGGGCCTTGTTTAGACACCTTGGATCCTTCTAACAGGCAGAGCACAGCCTTCTGCATGGCACAGCCCGCTGATGTCTTACTGCAGTTATTCACCCACCAGCAAAATGCCAAAGAGGCAGGAGCAGGAAGAAGTCCCAAAGCTGACACTTAGATGAAATTTGTCCCCTGAACTCCAGGTGAGGCCAAGAATGGCTGACCAAGGGATAAATCTGCTGCTGGAGCAAAGCTCTTGCCCTGCAGCCAGCCCTGAGCTGCATTCCCAAGGCAGGATGCCTGCAGCAGGATGAGGGAGCCTCTGCTGTGTCCGAGGCTGGGACAGCAGGGATTGTGCAATGTCCCTCAGTGCAGTTGTATAACATCACTGCTCTGTTTTTATGAACTGCTCCCAGTCAGGCTCAGAGAGCAGCAGCCCAGAGGAAGGGTGGTGTCAACATTACCTTTCACTCACCCGAAAGAAAAGAAGGAATGGGGGGAGAATCAAAGATGTGGTGTTGTTTGGGCTGGAGGGGGGTCTGGCTGTGCCACAGGGCCCCGCTCCAACCTCTGCTCCTGGCCAGCACCACGGAGCTGGCAGCCAAGGCAGGATCTGAGCAGGAAACGGGTTAATGGGAGCTCCTGCACTGCTCTACTCCCCCCAGTGTGTAGCACGTCTTTTGTGGATTATTTTAACAGCAGAAGGCACACAAGGAACACTCGCTGAAGAGATCAGCTTCCATCTGGGCTAACCCGAGAGTTTTCTCCCCTCCAATTTCCTCCAGCACCCACTCAACAGCTTCCCTCCCTGCAAAAGTGTTTGCTCAAAACCATCTTGACACGCAGCTAACCAGCTCAGTCTGAAAGCACCACATTTGCCTGGTCCAGAAGGCAGGAGCAGGACAGGGCAAGGCAGGGCAGAGCTCCCACCCTGCTGCTGCAGGTTCCCCAGTGCCCCACTGGGGTATCAAAGCTGCTCTCCAGAAATCCCAGCCCAGTCTCTGGGATGCTCCCAGTGTCACAGCACAGCCAGGAATTTCCCTGGAGCCAGCCCAGCGCAGGGAAGGTTTAGTTTTAATCACACACAGAGTATTCAGCAAGAAGGGCAGATTAGCTGAGCTTCCCTCGTGCCAGGGGCTGTGTGAGCCCTGCCCAGAGCAGCTTCCCTGGGCATTGAAACCCTGGCCCAGCACTGTCCAGGAATTCTTCCTGAGCCTCAAACCAACCAGCACATTTTCAGCCTCCAACTGCAGCCACTTCTCCAGCCCACTCCTCCCCACTGCCCTGTTCTCAAAGCCCTTAGATGTCGTATCCCTGATCCCCTCCTGGCACCCTGGAGGGCTTTGCAAGATCCCTTTGGGAATGCCGAGATCCCACCCAATAGCAGCGAGCTGCTGGAGGGGCTGCATGGAGCAGACCCCCAAAGTGAGCCAGGAATGAGCCATCACCACCCCATCTTCAGAGGGGAACAGCAGAAGTCTTCCAGGGCAGTGCAGACACATCTAAGCAGCTTAGAGAGCAGCCCTGTCTGCTCCCAGGCTCCTGGAGCAGTGGGACAACAACCTCCAGCTCAGGCAGCAATGTCTTAATGGGAGACAGCTCAGCAAGAGCAGCATTGCCCACCCAGAGACACATGGAACAACAAGGAAACCATCCAGAGAAACAGCAGCAGAGCACCACCAGAAAAATCCATCACCAAAATACAGAACCCCCTCCCCTACGGCACCTCTGGAACCAAACACAAATTTATTGCAAGAAACATTATGGTATAAGAGGGGAAAAAAATGACAGTACCTGATCCTCCAAACTGAGTGCTCGCAAGGGTCGTGGGTCTGTTTTTTCCATTAGCCACTGGCAAGGGAAACATCTAGAAAAACAAGGAGATGAGAGAGAAGGGAAAACAAAAGAGATTTCAGTATGTTGGTTTTACTGTGCTGCTGCAGAGGGGTCACACTGGGGGAGGGGAGAGGGAAGGCAGCCCGTTATTGATGCAAAAACCTTTCCTTGTGTCCCTGCCCCATCACTCAGAGGGGCAGGAGGGAGGCACAGCCCTGCTCTCACACACACCCCCATGTGCACGACCCCTGCTTCTGCAGGGGCAGCTGGAAACCAGCCAAGAAGCATCCCTGCCATGGTCCAAACCAACAGTTTAATCCCAAAATTGCTCACTCTGGCTACAGGTGAGCCCTGGGGAAAGGCCGACTCCATTCATAAAAAGGCAGCAGGATAATGACAGCAAAGCTATTTTATCCCTCACTGTCCCAGTCCCACAGGAGTCCTGGTCCCATCCCACACCTCCACCACGTGCAGTGCCTGGGCACAAGGGCTGCCTGTGGGTCCGGCTGGACGGGCAGGGAGGTCTCTGTGAGCCCCCAGCCCCACACAGCAGCTCCCACCCTGCTGCTCTGGGGGCTCCAGCAGCACCAGGACCTACACAGCCCTGGGGCCTGGGGAGAGGAAGCTGCTCCAAGGGCAACTATAGTCACTCATGATTTTAAAAATTAATATATTTCACAGAAATGGTCGCTCTGGGGACTTGTTTGCTCTATCACTGCAGCTTCATTATCACAACTGAGACTCTCCTGCCAGGAGCTTCCTCAAAAACACACCTCGTCACCTAACCTGTATAAATATTTTTAATAAAAGTTGGGAGTTTCAGAGGCTGCTATTTAATAATTTACATGCACCTGTGTGCAGCAGAAAAGAAAACTAATTCTCCTGCACACAAATGGAGCTCCAGCCAATAAAACAACTGGTGGGAAAACGCTTAGTGAATTAACATTTTAATATCCTTTTTCTACTCAAGATACTTTCACCACCAAGTCATTTGAATTTTTATTATTTTTAGCTTTGTAATGTCTGACTAACTCAAAAGTTTAATGCTTTGAAGATTAAACAATGTAATGGCACAAGAGCCTACAGAAAGGCAGCGTTTCATGCCCTGACATAGCTGATGTCTGGCTGTGGTCAGAAACATTCTTTTGTACAGAACCGTCTGCCCAGCTTTGTTTTCACAAATGCTAGGGAGGAGAAAAAAACCAACAAAAAACAGTTAAATGTGGTAGAGATGCAAAGAGAGTAGTTAAGGAACCAACTGCCATTCATAAAGAGCACAAATTTGGGATCATATATATGCATGCAGGGTGTAGATGTTTTATACAAGGATTTAAATGAAGGTGTAAACAGTGTTTAGTGCTCATCCCAGCTGCCTGCACACACCTGCCCTCACCTGCCTGCACACGGCCTCCTGGCCCCCTCAGATGTGCCCCGAGGCTGCTGCTCACCCCAGGGGCTCCCGAGGTGTTTGGGGTGGCCCAGCGGCCCCACCATCAGATGAGCTTTGTTTCCTCAGGAAGTTGGGCTAGAAAATAAAAACAAACCCCAAAGACTGCAGCTCACCTTCCTCTGCACTGCTGCAGGGCTTCCCTGTGCCCCCTCCCCCTTGCAGGCAGGAGGGGGGGCTCTGCAAACATCTCCAGTAGGGCTAAAAATTAAACTGATCCCACCCTGCCTGCGCTCACTCCCTCTTCTCATGGTAGGGAAGAAGACTGAGATCAAACTCCCTTTTTGCCAAGTGGCAAGGGGCAGGTCTGCATGTGTGAGCAGGGGGGAAGGGATGCATCATGAACCAAGCAGCAAAAAGCACACTCATACACAAAAAAAAAAAACAACCCAACAAAAAAACCCAAAAAACCAAAAACAAACATACAAAAACCCCCCAAGAAACAGCACTGCTGGCTCTTTTCATGAGCATTTCTGCTCAGCACTTGCTGAGGCTGAAAAACACAAGGTTTGAGCAGCAAACGTGAGTGCAGAAAAGGAACAACCTTGTTCCATTGTGCACCCAGCACCTTCTGCTTCTGCAGAACAGGAGTACCCCCCCAGGACAGCAATGCCCAGCACCCCCAAAACACCCACACACAGCCTGGGGAACCCCTCCCCTCCTCCAACTGCTTGGAGAGAGATTTTGAGGCTGATGCAACACCTTCCTGCTCTCCCTCTCCCCAGGGGATTTAGCAGTCATGGACCCCTTCCTGCAGCAGGGCAAGTAGAGATGCTAAAGTACAGAATCCTGGAATACCCTGAGCTGGTTGATCCCAGCCCCTGTCCCTGCCCAGACCCCCCAACAGCCCCACCCCGAGCAGCCCTGAGAGCGCTGTCCAAACGCTCCTGCAGCTCTGGCAGCCTCGGGGCCGGGACCATTCCCTGGGGAGCCTGGGCAGTGCCAGCACCCTCGGGGGGAAGAACCTTTCCCTGAGCTCCATGCCAACCCACTGACACAACCTCATGCTGTCAAACAAGGGTGACAGAGTGCAGGGAAGCCCAGGTTACCCCTCCACACCTATCACTTGCCAACCACAGGAGACATTTTGGGCTTTCTTCTTGCTCCCAGCCTCTTTTTCCACTGTGGTGTGGGCTGAAGCTGCCCCAAGGAGCCCGGCACAAGTCATACGTGAAGTGCCTTCACTGGCGTGTGCTGCTCAGAGGCAAAGTTCATCCACCCACTGCAAATTTCCTTTCTGCTTCTAAATGCTGCTTTAAAAATAAACTGGGGGGGAGGGAGGAGATGAACCGGAGCTGGCACCTACCAGGGGACCCAGGCATTGAGGGACCCAGGCATGAGCTCTCAAGAGCTGTAATTGGGTCATTACTTGGCCTTTGTTAGATTTGAATAATGTAGATTTAAACGGTTATGTAAAATCCCCTATCTTAAGTTGCTGTACTTGGTTTTTCAAGTCCTATCTCCAGCCTCCCTGAGGGGTGACAACAACTTCTTCGTTCCCTCCTAGCTCAATTTCCACCCTTTCCAAAGAATTTATTCTCCCTTCATTGCTCACTGGGTAAAAGAGGCAAATCCAGAGCATGAGAAGATCCAGATGCCTGCATCCTCCCCTGAGGAGGTTATAGCCAAGAGACCTCACACTTCATACAGCAAACTCCTAAGAAAGAAAGGGAATTTGCCAGAAACAAGGAACATCATGCAGCATGCCATTTATTGTGCACTTCTAGAAGTGCATCTCTTTTCAAATTAAATCAGTGCTCAATCTCTCTCCTCTCCCACCTGATGAACTCCAAGCTGAACCAACCTCAGGCCTCAACTCCAAACCTGAGAAATCTGTTTTGCAGCATGGAAAGCATCCAGCTGTTAATTCGGGGAGAAGAGGGAATTTGATTCCAAATACATTGCCAGCAGGACATTTTATACATGTTCAACTTAAGACAGACCTTCCTGACTACAGCCCCAAATGCCCACTGCGTGTGCAGTCAAATTTTAAACTCCACAGCTGCTTCACTCTGAACAAAACTCAGAGTTTTATCATGGAAATGCAGGCGCTGGGCCTTGGCTGGAGCAGGGCACGGCTTCAGCATCCTCCAGCAGAGCAGCAGGAGTTGCTCCAGCCCTGCTTGCTGCCAGCACTTGGGCTCCCACCCCCGGATGCGGGGCTGGAGCCGCAAGAGCCGCGGCGCAGCGGGAGCAGCCACGGGCGCAGCGATGAGCGGCAGGTCCTGTGTGACTGCTCAAGCCCCTGCCCACCCTGCACTGAGCCAGAAACCCCCTCTGCCAGGCAGCTCCCGCAGCATATGGTTAATACTCTGCTAATAATCATGGCTGTTAACAGCACCTCGCTCCTGCCAGAGCCCCCGGCTGGCACTGGCACGCGGCCGCTCCCAGCTCGGCTGGCACTTGGTGGCACTGACACACCCAAGGCTGCTCTGCTCCCCTGTCCCCTGCCTGGAGTGTCCCCGTCCTTCAGAGCAGCCCAGCCCAGCCAGGACACCTGTGCAGCACCTTCCCACTGCACACCAGCACAACTGAGACACTGCCTGGGATAACCAGCAACCACGAAAAGTCCTAGAGTCCTGGAATATCCTGAGCTGGAGGGGACCCACCAGGATGGAGTCCAGCCCTGTCCCTGCCCAGACACCCCAACAGCCCCACCCTGAGCAGCCCTGAGAGCGCTGTCCAAACGCTCCTGCAGCTCTGGCAGCCTCGGGGCCCTGGGCAGTGCCAGCACCCTCGGGGGGAAGAACCTTTCCCTAAAATCCAACTCCTTGTGGTTGAGCACCTCCCAACAGCACAGGCCAAGGGCATCTCCCCCCATACACAGCCTGTGCCCGTCAGGCTGAGCTGCAAAGCCTGGCAGCCACCAAAGCCCAGCCTAATCAATAGGCTGAGCTGCCCACCCTAATCAATAGGCTGAGCTGCCCAGCCTAATCAATAGGCTGAGCTGCCCACCCGGGTCTATAGGCAGGATGTTTTCTTGAAAGCTCCACTCCAGATTTGCCAGCCCATCTGGGCCTGCTGCCAGGGAGCAGTGGTGAAGGCAAGCTTACAAATTACCTGCACTTTGGGGCAATTAGAAAAGGCAATTTATCAGCTGCCATGCACACCCCAAAGCATCACTGGGCTTTTCCTTTGACTCCTGCTCACTTACAGATTCCTTTGATTTTTACCCTTTTTGGCAAATTACAGTGGCACTAAGCTTTTAGTGAGTGCTTTGGGGTTCAATATCAACCCAATAGACTTATTTATTAAAGAGTCCCTTCTTTCAGGACTGCAAGCCCAGTTTGCAGCATCTCACACAACCCTGTCATTTACTGACCCCAGGAACTCGTGGAAGGCTATGCCACCCCCTTAGGGCCTTAAAATTCCCTCCCTGCAAAGCAGAACACATTGCAGGGCTGGACCACAGACTGCTGGGGCTGAACACATTTTCCCTAAAAAAAAGGAATCAAAATACTGATCTGAAGCAAATGCTTCCAGCTGCTCTGAGTATCTCTACTTTTCCCTCCCCTCTACTCTCCTAGAGAGGATTACTGAACCAATGCTCCACTCCTGTTTATTCAAAGAAAAATATAAATACACTTGAAAGAGCGAGCTTTGTGGTTAAAAATCCTGTATCCCAAGGACACAGGGAGAGCAAATCATGGAGCACCTCTTCAACAGACCCATCTACTGTCTAGGAAGCTTTTCCATTTCAGCTCCTCATCCTTGAGGAGAGCTGTTAATATTCCCTTTATGCAAAGAGAGGAGAAGGGTGTGTGGAGATGAGGGTTTGTGAAACAGAGCTGGCTGCAGGCCAGGCTGCGCCGGAGCCCATCGGCCAACGGATCCTGCAGGGAACGTCTTCGAGTCATTTGCTGGCAAATGACATTCACAGGCCCTGGTGCTGTGAGCAGCAACCCCCAGCACCTCCACACCAGCCTCGGAGCAGCACAGGATGAGTTCTGGTCCTCCCCAGAATTATGCCAGTGGAAGAACGTTGAATCCAACCCCAAATTTAAGCTTTTGGTGTAGATTCACCTCCAAGGACAGAAATATTTGTGTACAGAGGGACCAGGTCAAGATTCCTCCTGGGAATACAGTTCTAGGCATGCAAATGATGATGGTTGGTTAAATTGGAAAATAAGGTCTTGGGGGCTTTTTAAAGCTCTAAATGGTGAATGGAATTTTTTTTTTTTTTTTTCCAAGGAGGGGAAAAAAGCAAAGCAGGAGCTGCTGCAGCCCCTGTCAGGGAGCAGATTCTGGATTACTGACCCAAAGTACAGTTGATGGAAAGCCCCAGGGCTCCTGCCAACCTGCAGGATCTGAGAGGGAGAAATAACCACAGGAAGCCCTGAACAGATTGCTGGTTTTACAGGGATACCATCGCTGCAGTCCCTGTACTCACTTTAAAATACTCTACCAGAAAAGCCCATTACCAGCAATTTAACTGGTATGACTACTTCTCCCAGTAGAAGTATGAAACTGGGAGAACTGGGCGTCTCCTGCAGAATTGCTCTTGGGGGGCTGAGAGACACCCCTGCCCCTTCCAGCACAGAGGTCTGTCAGGACAGGTACAACCCCCAGCTGTAGAAGAAGGTTTATTTCCCAGGGCTGAACCTCAGCGTGTGGATGCAGAAAAGCAGACGAGCCTCAGCACACCCACAGGTGTCACAGCCATGGGACAGCAGGTGACCCTAGCTCTGCCACCACTTTTTGTCCTTTCTCCTCCAAGGGGCAGGAACATCAGCCCAGAAGGGCTGTGGGCTGGGTGACCCAGGCTGGGGCGACTCTCACGGACATTCCCCCTCCTGGAGCTGCTGTTTCTATCTCTGCAGCACGTTTGCTTATCTCGACAGCAAGACGCACGTTTTGAGTGCCATGAGGGTGCAGCACACAACAGAGGAACCCAACAGACAGTTATTTGCCTTTGAACACCAACTCTGCCCTCCACGAGTCACCTGCCAAGGAGAGGCAGCACCGCTGGCAGTGCCACGGCGGGATGTGCCAGGGACTAACCCCGCTCTGCTGTGACTGAAGGGACTTCTCCTCCCTCTGAGCTATGCACACTCTTTGGGGGGAACTCTTAGGTCCTGTTTCTTTGAAAATAAACAGCTCCTAAATGCAGCTCAAGGTTTCCAGGATACAGAAGAGCAGAGCATGGGGAGCACAAGTGTCCAACTCCTGCAAAAATAACGTGCTGGAGAGCTTGGACACATTTCAAACTGTGACAAAATAACCTGTGGGAGCAAAAGTTTAATAGTCTGGATCTAGGGAGAGGAAAAAGCTTGATTAATCAGCTACTGAAGTTACATCTTTGCATGGCTGCAGAAACAGTCACCCAGTGAGCATTTAAACAGAGAACATACAACTCTGTTAATTCCCCCAAAATTTCCCATCCAGAAAAGAAACCTCTCTGCCTTCCCTGCGAGGGAACAACACACGTTTGAGGGGAAGAGGGGGAGAGGAGGGGCAGAGGCTTTGCTTTAACTTGAAAATAAACAAGTTGCAGCACATGTGCACGCACACAAACACGGCACATCTGAAACCCATCATGTCCAATTTACAGGCTCACATTTCCTCCCCTGTGCAGCTCCCAGCCCCGGGGCTGCGCAGCCCCCCGGCCGCGCTCGCTCACCATACTGAAGTCCAGCAGGTCACTGAGCTCTTTGTCTGTCCCAACTGCAGCCATTCTCTGCTGCTGCTGATTCATATTCCCACAGACTCAACAGTGGCAGTCCTGCAGAAAGCGAGGGGGAGGGGAGAGAGATATTTTAATGACTACAGCAAACTACCCACCCCATTGATGAATATTTTAAAAAGACAGAGTGGAGGGGCAAGAAAAGAAAAACCCTGAGAGCGTCAGCAGCGTCCAACTCCGGGGCCAGAGCACAGTCGGAGTCCTCACACAGCACCCAGCGGCAGGAACAAGCGTTCCATTGACCAGACACACTTGTATGTTAGTTTTTTGCTGCCAATTCCACTAGTTCAGGCCAATTCTGTTCCTGGCGTGTGGCGAATGAAGGGGGCAAAAGGAAAAAAAAAAAGGAAAAAAAAGAGTCAACTCATTTATCAAAGGGTTCAGGCAAGTTATCACTCAGGCGCTTGTCTGGCTCAGCTCGCCCCCTCGCCTTCCCCCACACTTGCTCCCCGCAGGAGGCTCTCTTGTCCTTGCCGAGTTTTGTTTAAAAAAAAAAAAAAAAAAACCTAACTGAAAAAAAAAAAAAAGTCTGATGTTACAGCTCTTTCCTTCGGGTCGCCGAGCACCTGCAGCTGCTTTTTCAGGGGCTGTGTTTGGGGATGCCCAGCCAGGCTGTGCTCAGTGAGAACTGAACCTCTCCACTCCCAAAAGGGGCTGGAAACAAAAAAATTTTGTTTTCTGAGTGTTTTTGCAAAAATAAAGCCCTCCAGGCAACCTTGCAAGAGAGGTAAATATTATTCTTCCTAATTTTACAGATTATTTTTTTTCAAAAGGGAGATTGATCTTTTTGGCCAGTTTGCTATGATAGAAAAATATTTCTTTGGGAGGGAGGAAGAGAGGCCTGGGATGAGATAAAAGATTCCTTTTTTTTTTTTTTTTGGCCTTTTTTTTAGGAACTCATTCATGGTTACAAAGGGCAGCTGGCCAATAAATTTAACTCATTAATCGTAAGGGTAAAAAAAAAGTAAAAAAAAAAAAAAAAAAAAAAAAGAAAAAGAAAACTCCACACGATCCAAAGTGTCTGTAGGCTCAGCCACTACATTTCAATGAAGTTTCACAAAAAAAGGCTGAAATCAGCCCAGTGTGTAAAAAGCCTTCACCACTATGAAAACCAGCACGGGAATTTTCTTTTTTTTTTTTTTTTTCTCTATATTCATTTTCTTTGAAAAGTCTTTTTCAAAGTGTCATCAGTGCATCTGGTCAGTGTTTTTAAAGCCACTTTCCCACCTTCTGCCCCGGTGCCTCAAGTGAGCTGGGGCAGATGAGACCCCGAAAAACCCGTGCAAGGAGGAGGGTACATCTCTTCCCAGCCCCCAAACCCTGCACCCCCGAGGCACCCGGGGACAACGTGAACAAAACCCTTGGCCGCCCCAAAGCCAGGCTGGGAGGGTTATTTTTATTTATTCCACGCACACTTTCTGACCCCAAAGCAGCCGCGGGGCCGGGGCGCGGGGCCAAGACCCCCTCCCAGATGTCTCCGCACCCCCGGGGTCCCTCCGCAGCCCCTCCGCAGCCCGGACAAAGGCTCGGCTGCCCCGGGACGGGGGTGAAGTTGTTTGCGGCACCCCACGCGCGACCCCCGGGCCGCAGGGAGGGGGGTCCCGGCTGGCAGCCCCCGCCCAGCCCGGGGAGCGCAGGAGGGCGAAGCGGCCCCCACGGGCCCCCTCCCTGCCGGGGGAATCCGGAGCTGCCGCCCCCGCGCTGGGTCCCGCGGCTCCCGCAGCCCCCGAGCCGGGAAGGGGCTCAGGGACCCCGGGGGCGGCCGGCGGGCTGTGCTCGGCCGAAGTTCGCAGCAGGACCGAGCACCGGGCCCCCCTCCCAGCGGCCCGTACGCCCCCCGAGCCCGAGCCCGCCCCGCCGCTGCCGCCCCCCTTCCCCCGGCCCCGGCAAACTTTGCCGAGGGGACAATAGCGCCGAGCCCGTCCCGTCCCGCTCCGCGCCCGCACCCCGAGCGCTCCGAGCCCCGCCGCACCGGCACCCCCAGCTCCGGCACCCCCGCTCCGCGCAGCCCCGGGGTGGCGCGGCCGGCTTGGTTATTATTTTATTATTTCTGCGTTTTATTTTATTTTGGCTTTTACCTGTTCCAGGCCCGGCGCGCCCGGGGCAGGGGAAGCGCATGAAGGGTGTCGGGGGTCGCGGCGGGGGCGGGGGCGGCCGCGGCGCCCAGGCCCGGGGGCGGCGGCGGCGCCTATTGTTCTCCGCCGCCGGCGGATACAATGTAGCGAAGCGGCGCGATCGCCCCGCACCGGGCGGCGCGTGCGCCCCGGCCCGCCCCGCGGCCCCGCCCCGCGCCGGGCCGGGCCCTAACGCCGCTGCTGCTGCCGCCGCTGCCGCTCCGCCTCCCGCCGCGGTTCCGCCCGCCCGCCCCGCGGTCCCTGCATAGTTCCCCGCGCGGCGGCGGCGGCGGCAGCAGCAGCGACGGCGGTTACCCCCCGCGCCCGCCTCTGCCGCCGCCTCCCCCCCGCCCGCCCTCACGACTCGCGGCCGCACGCCCCGCCCCCAGCGTATCGCTCCGCCACCCGTACAACCAGCGGGAAAGCGAAGTGGGGGGTGCAGGGGTGGTGGTGCCGCCACGCACGCGCTTCGCGGAACCGGCAGGCGCGTGGCCGCGCTTGGGGCGGCGGAACGGGGCCGCGGCGGCGCGGCGGGGGCACCACCGGGGCGGGGACTACATTTCCTGGCGGAGGGGGATGGGCGGCTGGAGGCACGGGCGCGGTGACGACACCAGAGCTCCGCGAGATGGACTGATAAGGCAGCGGGCCCTCAGCCAATGGAAATGCTGCGTTGGTGTGATTGGCAGGTGGTGCGGCCAACCGGGGCGCGGGATGCCGCTGTCCCCGCCCGCCGAGCGGGGGGCGGGCCGGCGGAGGCGCGGGGCGCCGTGGCCGCCCTCAGCTCCCCCCGCGGTGCCGCCGGTCCCGGCGGGCAGGGCCGGGGGCCCGGGGGTCCCGCCGCGGACCCCGCCCGGCAGCTGCTGCCTCACAGCCGCCGCCCCCGGAACCCTCCCGAGGGGCCGGAGGGGCCCGGCGGGACCTGCGTGGCGGCTGAGGCCCGGCCGCGCCGCCCGCTCGGGGGGCCCCGGGGGCACCTTCCCCGCGGCCGGGGATGGCGGGCCCGGTACAGCGCAGCCCCGGGGATGGTGGGGCCGAGCCCGGGAGCGCCCAGGCTTGGACCGGCCTGCGCAGATGTGACCCCAGCCCGGACGGGCCCTGCAGTGCAGCGGGGCTGGGGTGGAGAGTCCGTGTGTGACATCCCGGAGTCACCTCGGAGTGGGGTGCGTGGGGAGAGGCCTCAGATTTCCTCTCGTTCCACCCCCTGCTATAGGCAGGGACACCTTCCACTGTCCCAGGCTGCTCCAAGCCGTGCCCAGCCTGGCCTTGGGCACTGCCAGGGATCCAGGGTGGGCACCCTGTGCCAGGGCCTGCCCACCCTGCCAGGAACAATTCCTGCCCAATCTCCCATCCAGCCCTGCCCTCTGGCAGTGGGAGCCATTCCCTGTGTCCTGTCCCTCCAGGCCTTGTCCCCAGTCCCTCTCCAGCTCTCCTGGAGCCCCTTCAGGCCCTGCCAGGGGCTCTGAGCTCTCCCTGGAGCTTCTCCTCTCCAGGGGAGCACCCCCAGCTCTCCCAGCCTGGCTCCAGAGCAGAGGGGCTCCAGCCCTTGCAGCATCTCCGTGGCTGCTCTGGCCTGGCTCCAGCAGCTCCACGTCCTCCTGCTGCTGTTCCCCAGGCTGGGGCAGCTCTGCAGGTGGGGTCTCACCTGAGCGGGGCAGAGGGGCAGAATCCCCCCTGCCCTGCTGCCCACGCTGGGGCTCAGCCCAGCCCAGGGGGGTTCTGGGCTCAGTGCCCATGGCCGGGGCAGGCTGAGCCTCTCACCCACCAGCACCCCAACCCTTCCCCCAGGGCCGCTGCTGATCTGTTCTTTATCCAGCTTGTGCTTTTGCTTGGGATTGCCCTGACCCGTGTGCAGAACATTGCACTTGAACTTGTTGAGCTTCGTGATTTTGGCACAATCCCACCTCTCCAGCCTATCTAGCCCCCTGTGGTTCCCCATCCCCTCTCCCCAGCATGTGCCACAGCTCTGTGTCACCCAGTGCCTGGATCCCACTGTCCGTGCCACCCATAGAACTCCACACCTCCCCACCCATCTCCTGCCCACTTTGCTGCTGCAGCCGGTGCTGGCACTTGGAAGCAGCTGGCAGGTGCTTGGCTTCAAAGGTGCCAGTGGGACTGTAGAATGTGCGTCTGCCTGGTCCTCTGGGGTGTGGGAGTTTGTATCATTCCCCAGGGTGGTGGGAGCTGCTTCCAGCACCTCTTCTCCAGTGGGTTTTGGAGGAGCTGGGATTCGGGATGGAATTCAGTATGGAGACATGGTGCTTTGCCCAGTTACACGAGGTTCAGGAAGTGCAGGAGCAGAGGCACAAACACATGGTTGCAGCAGGTGTGGGCAGGGGTTCACCTCCTCTTCCTTCATCCACCCTGGATCCCAACACAGGGATCTTGGAAGAGCTGGGCTTTTCTCCCTGGCAAAAGCTGCTTCTGCCCTACCCAGGCAGCTCCAGGCTCGTCTGTCAGCAGAGCTGCTCTGGGTTTCCCTGTGCCTGACCCCTCTGCAGCCGGATCTGGGGCCAGCTGTCACCTGCAGCTTTGGGCCATTTGGCTTTTCTTTTCTTTTTTTTTTTTTTTAAGTGCATAGAATTGCCTACATTTAAACGGGGTCACTGACCAAAGTCATCTCCTGTCATCAGGGATGGATCATCGCTGGGGTGAGGATGACCCCTGCCCCAATTCAGCAAGGATGGGGGTGTGGGCTGGCAGCGAGGTGCTGGTCCGAGGTACATGGAATCATAAAATCATGGAACACTTTGGGTGGAGAGGACTTTAAACTTCACCTTGTTCCATCCTCATGCCCCAGGGAGGGACATTTTCCACCATCCCAGGCTGCTCCAAGCCTCATCCAGTCTTGGGCACTGCCAGGGATCCAGGGTGGGCACCCTGTGCCAGGGCCTGCCCACCCTGCCAGGGAACAATTCCTGCCCAATCTCCCATCCAGCCCTGCCCTCTGGCAGTGGGAGCCATTCCCTGTGTCCTGTCCCTCCAGGCCTTGTCCCCAGTCCCTCTCCAGCCCTGGGCAAGGAAGGTGAGCATTGCCTGGCTGCTGCTGCTGTGTAAAAAGGAGCTGTTCACCTCCTGCTGCATTTCCTCTGTGCCCAGTGGCCTTGGGACTGGTGTCACCCCCCAGCACCCTGATCCCAGCCACTCCTGCCAACATCATCCCTCTCCTGCTGCTCCCCCTCTGCCTTCCGCTCCCTGGGATGACAGGGAGAAGACAAAACATTTCCCTAACACAATTAAATTCTAATTTTGCATCTGTGGCCATAATTTCCCTGTCGGTAATTGTAATTAAACCTTTGAGCTTTGCTCTCCTGCTGCTGGTGGCTCAGCAAACCAAGTGGTGGAGGGGAGGGATGGGATGGGATGGGATGGGATGGGATGGGATGGGATGGGATGGGATGGGATGGGATGGGATGGGATGGGATGGGACGGGACGGGACGGGACGGGACGGGATGGGGATGGGCCTTGCTGGATTTCCACAGGCATTCGTGGCCAGGACAGTGTGGGATGAAAGCAGTGTGCTGCTTTCCTGCTCTGAGCTGTTTTGGTCATTTGGTCTATGTTGAAAATAGAATTTGTGTTTCACAGAATGGTTGGGGTTGGAGAGGACCTCATCCAGTTCAACTCCCTGCCAAGGCAGGGTCACCCAGAGCAGGTGACACAGGAACACGTCCAGGTGAGTTTTGGAGTCTCCCTCTCTTGGGCAGAGACTCCACAGCCTCTTTGTTCAGCCTCTTCCAGGGCTCTGCCACCCTCATGAAATGAAGTTCTTCCTCATATTGAGGTGGGACTTCTGGTGGTTTAGTTTATGGCCACTGCTCCTTGTCCTGTTGCTGGGGACCAGAACAGAGTCTGGCACCATCCTCTGACACCCCTTGGACATACTTGTATGGATTGGTGAGATCCCCTCTCAGTCTTCTCTGGATTAACCAAGCCCAGCTCCCACTGTCTCTGCTCACCAAAAGAAGCTCCAGACCCCAAATCACCTTTGGGGCCTCCACTGGACCCTCTCCAGTAGCTCCTTGTCCTTCTTGTCCAGAACAGCAGCCCAGATGTGCCTCCCTAGGGCTGAGTAGAGGGGCAGGATCCCTCCCTGCCCTGCTGGCCACACTCCTCCCGATGCCCTCAGGGCCCCAGGACACTCTGCTGGCTCAGGGACAGTTTGTCATCCCCCAGGAGCCCCAGGTCCTTCTCTGCAGAGCTGCTCCCCAGTGGGTCACCCCCATCCTGTGCTGGCCCCTGGGGTTTTTCCTCCAGAGGTGCAGGACCCTACACCTGCCCTTGTTGCACCTCTTTAGGCTTCTCTCCACCCAGCTCTGCAGCCTGTAATTAATTAGTCTATAATTAATAATGCCTCTTTCCTGGTGGGTGGCAGCATCGTGGCAAAAAGTGTGTCCCCAGGCCTGCTCAAGGGGAACCAGGAAGGCTTAAAACTCCTCTGACATTGTGGGGTTTTTTTTCTTGAAGCTGAGAAGTTCCCCCTTCAGTTCACAGCATGGCCCCCTCGGGTTCCCATTTCGGGCTATTTTGGTAGGGCAGGAGGAAGCAGAGGGGATAAGGGGATGCACAGAGGGGCACCACGGGGATGCTGTGCAGACATGTCTACCCAGAGGTGACACCAGAGGGGCTCCAGTGACATTCCCCACCTGGAGGAGTGCTCAGGCTCAGGAGCAGCCTCAACGTTCCCTGGGCACCTTTTGAGGTGGGGTAGTGCCATAAACACAGCAGGGGCAACACAGAGCCACAGAATCCTGGGACCTCCTGAGTGGGAAGGGACCCACAGGGATCATCAGGGTCCAGCTCCTGGCCCTGCACAGCCCCAAGAACTGTCAAGATTCTCCCAAGAATCTCAAGAATATCTCGAGTTCTCATTGTTTCCATCTTCTGGACCTTTGGGATGAGGATAGCAGTTTTAACCATCTTCCCAATTTGTTGTGCTGATAACACACAGCTGATAAATAAGAAAATAATGCTGATGTTGTGTCCAAGTGCTGGGAGCTGTGGCTGAAATGAAGCAATTTCACAGTGACACTGGCAGCGCTCAGAATTGGCAATGCCAGGGAAGAAAAGTGTAGTGAAGGCTCCAAAGGCAGCACTGTCCAAAGGAGGGCATGGAGAGCTTCCCCCCAGGCAGGTCATCCTCCACAATGTCATCTTCAGCTCTGCTGCACAGAGCAGCTGTGGCTGCCCCTGGATCCCTGGCAGGGCCCAAAGCCGGGCTGGACGGGG